ATTCTAGAAAACTCATCGTGTTCTAAATAGCTGATATCTAAATGAATTTTTTAAAAAACATATATATTCATATTTCTGGAAACTACATAGATTTTCTGTGTATGGGGCTAATATGAAGCTTCCTCTTTAAATAAATTTAACTCTACAAAAAGAATAAAATTTAACTTAAAAATATTAAGTAAATAACTAAACAGGTGTGCATAAATACGACAAAGAATGACTGATGACTGAGAAACAATTATTTAACTCATAGTCAACCCAAAGTCAAGTGAGAACTAAAATACAATTATGAACATTTCTGTCCCATGCTTAGAATCTACCAGTGACACCCTTTTGCCTTTAGGATGAAGTCTAAACTTCTGAAGTCTGACTTTGCCATTCGTTTCCAGACTCATTTCCTGCTAAGGCCCCTCTCCCATGTGCCACTCCCTAAATAGCCATGTTCTTTCTCAGTCGTGCATTTGCACATGTCTTCCTCCACTTGTCCCCAGGGGGCAGGCTGCTGCTCATCCGTCAGCTTCAAATCCAGAGGTGCTTCTCATGGAGACAAGTTATCTGTCACTTCATGCTCCTCCCAGAGCAGTGAGCACACACCTCCGCCATTGCATGTAGCCCTTTTACAGTAGTTACGTGCTTTCGTATCTCCTTCTCTGTAGTCGTTGAGAGCAGCCTTTGTGCAGCCAAGACATATACCTGGTCCTGGACACACTGGGAGAAAGAAATAGATCCCTTCTTGCAGTGAGCTCTCAGTCTAAGAATGCAGGCCCTGAGTACTAAGCCAGAGAATAAGTACTACGCTCAGCTCCTATGAAGCGGGATGCCCTCTCCAGTCTAATCAGAGCCTTAAAGAATATGTAGGAATCAGTCAATTGAGCGTTAAGTGCCATTTTAGGAACATTATAAGCGAAGCATGTATCTAGGAAACAAGGCCAAGATGAAAGGGTTGGGGTTGGTGCACAGCTTGTGTTTGGTCTTGGTCTCCAGTCTTTGGCAGGCAGGCCAGCAGTAGTCAGCTCTTGGTAAAGGATGAATGAATAAATGCATGTGTAATTGAAAGAAAGGTTTTGAAGCCTAAGAGTGACATGGTCAGACTT